CTGTTCAAGTTGGTGACGAGGTCGGGAGGGCTTCGCAGCTCCAGAATCGTCGAAGAGGCGGAATCCAGGTCTGGGCGCGGACTCGCGAGGAAAGAGGGCTTGCCAGTTCTCGTATGGCGCCCCAGGCTTGCAGTACCCGTGCGGACGGACAAGAAACGGAACCGATTTCGTCACTCGCGTGACTTCGTCAGCAACCATCTTTGCCGTTATCTCGATGGGACCTGCAAGTGTGTTTATTGTCACCGGTACGGTGGCAATTTGCAAGGCAACCAGATTTGACGCTGGTTCCAGTTTGATTCCAGATTCGCTCCGTGACATGGAGGAATCTAGGAGCTCTTTCCGAGCGATTTCGTTCTTTGCTGTCAGTGCAAAGCCTGTTTTGACCCGCTGAACCAACGTGATGTGGTCGGTAGTGGTACCAAGCACCTGTGACACAGCTAATCTTACGCCAGCTGGTGACAGGAGTCGGTGGGGGTGGTTAACTTTGAGGCGTAGAAAAATTCTCGCGTCGACTTTTGTCCTCGGATTGGCACTTTTTGCTTTTGGGGCGGCCTAGACCTGCACAGGCTACTGTGGCCCAAGTCATCTTTGGTGCCGGAGCCTGGATCGTCGAAGGGTTTTGAGCCCTAATTTCTGGAGCCCTCGTCGGATGAGGGTTATTGGGGCGAGCAGGAAGAATCAGTTGTGTGGTCCCTGGGCCTGATTGTATAAACTGGCAAATGGCCGCTCGTAGGTAGACTTTTATGCCGTCTACGAATTCTTTATTCTCGCCGATCGAAAGAGGCGAAAGTGCTGCTTCGACACTGTTTATTGCAGTCGAGCAGATGGCAAGGCGGGCCGTAATTTGCATCGTACGCCGCTTTTCGGCCTCCATCACAGATTGCAGCTCAGGGGGATATTCCATCGCTGTTGTCGAAGCTGCGCCTTTTGAGGCAGGCACAGCATTTTTTCCGGCAGGCAAATCTCCACGTTCGTTCGTCTTTTCTCTGACGACCTCCTTTACTTTCCTGGAACTGATTGCCTCGGGGGCCAGCTCGGCGGGTTTCGCGGTCTGTTGACCATTTGTTTCTGTTCTGATCGGTTCAGAATCAGTCATCTCTTGGTCGGGGAATGTGGAAGACTTCCCAGGGATAAAGGCCTCACTCGCAAATAGGCTTGATAATTTTTGCGCGAGGCCAGGTGTTTTTGCAGGAGCCCTCGGGCGGACTCTCGCGTTGTCCAACATTGAGTTGGGGAGCTTTTTTCGAACAAGAGGCATGATGAAAATACCAATGACTCGATGACAATTTATTGAAGGAATGCGACGAGCGTGAGAGGGAGGGAGAGGGTGAATATTCGAAAATTCGAATTTCAAAAAATTGTGGGTATGTGTGTGTTTATTGTTCTACTTGAGTCTTTGACTATTTACCACGTTGAACTCCTCTCTGGCCCAGGCCACATCTTGTACAGTGCTCCTTGCCTCTCATGTTTCTTGAAAGATCATTGATATATTGCCCGTGATGAACAGCCATTCAGCTCAGTGTTTACCCGTGGAATTCGGTCACCTTTTCTACTGAACCTTCTACAAAAAAAAAGGAACAAATGGAGACGGCGTGCGCGAGAAAAAAGTCACTAAAAACTTTCAGCCCCAGCCAAGCGAGTCTTAGACACCGGGACCACATGAGGTGCGCATATTCATCTATATCTCCCTTCTTTGTAACATTCGAGGACGACTTGATCCAATCCAATAGCTCCTAATTGGGTACTGGGTACGCTCCAGAAACTCACTGGATAGCTTTTCCTTCTTGATCAAGGGTTGGTGATGAGAAGGGCGTCGACCTTGACATCTGATCTAATCGTGGTTAGCTTCATGACAGAGGTAATAGGGGGATGTGTTGAGGGATGAAGACAAATCAGACTGCGAAAGCGATTGGGAATCCTCATCGAAGTGAGGACTTTATTACTCAATCTCGGCTCTACAGACTCTACAGTGAGAGCTGGAGGTTCGTAGGTGATACCACTGACTGGTGTTGAGAAAATTCCCCCGTTCCTTATCAATAGGTAGATAGCCGAATATAAAATAAATGATATTAAAAAAAATATACACCCCTCCATCGAAAAGTACTGTCTCCCACCAGTCTTTATTCATCATATAAGTAGAGGAATATTGTGGCCTTCACAATCTCCCCTATCCAATCAATGGTAGGAAGGCCTTTTGAATTTCTGATAGCCGGGAAGCCCCACAAGGACTACTGAACAAGGGGCTAACATACTGTCGGCACGAGGACTAAATATGTGAATATGAATACCATTCTGAAGCGTTGTTATGTGCCTAAAATTGGAAATTGCAGATTTTTATGCCCAATTAAATTATAGTTTATATTCCTAGACTCTATTTTGCCCCCTTCATCATTCGTATCTCAGGACGAATCTAATGTTAATATAGACTTCAGAAAAGTACTGGCAAGATGTTCGCTGTAAATATACCTAGCTCAATTTCTCCATACCTTCTTGTGTGGTGATAAGTGCCTTCAACCCATTGATAGCAGAAGCTTTTCTAATAATCATTGGAAATAATTTAGGATCTGTGGACTCCACGATAAAAGCTAGAGCTTCTCCAGGGATATCGAGAATAGTTTTTGAGATTTCATCTCTTGTTAAGGATAAGCACAACCGAAATAAGATGGAGGTCTAACCCTTATTTTATGACAAGACAAATTTTTTAGAATATTATCTACATAGTCAAATAGCTTCCTCATCCATTTTCATTCTACATTTTTCTCATCTGAGAACACAGAAATCTTTATTTATTTGATCCGTAGATCATCTTAAACTTAATCAAATTTTATGGAAAGGTTAGGTGACCTCTGTAAGGACATGAAATAATGCTCTGTTGCTATTTCCTTTCAAAGGATGAAGGTGTGGAAGTTATTTCCTTCTATGCTACCGCGCTAGAAATATATGTTTTTCACCCTTCTGTATGAGCTTGAGCTCGGCTGGGGCTAGACCAACTTCGGCTGGCTACAATGAGTACTAAATTAGCCCCATTTGAATGACCGGGCCAAATCAGTTTTCAGCCATTTTTTGAATCAAAAGTTTGATCGTGCAGAGAGCTTGATGTTAACACACCAAAATGCTAGTCGTTTCTTACTTTATTTGTACCTTCACTGCAACTTCATCTTCGGCTTATGCTAGAATCTTCTTGATCCATCAAAGTATTGTTCTCCTTGGAAACGGTCATATTTGTATAATTAAGTGGTCCAGTATGCGCTTCTTCTCTAATATACCTCTATTGTAGCATCATCTTCATCCATCTGCAAATTTTTCAAACAGAGAAACCGATCACTGTTCAGTCATTCAGTATTGAATTGTAATAGTCGTACTTCTAACCATAATGGTAGAACATAAGAAGGGAATAATTACGATTCAGCGATGACCAAGGCTTATTCGAATCCTCAGGCTGTTTTTCTAGAGAGACTTTGAACCTTTTAAATGGTGATGACTCAAAGTTCAGGCTTTCGATAGACCTGGGCACGTTTTTTCAGCCCATTAAGAGCATGCAGCCTATCTAGTTATAACACCGTAGACAAGTCATAGGCGAATCTTAGGTGTATAGGCAGAGCCTTCGCAGCGCGCGACAGCTGTAGTGTTTTAATCGTCTATAAATGTCACTAACTGACGATATCGACATTTTAAAAGCCGGATAATAAAGGATGGCCATGTAGTATTTTCGTAGAAGACGGCAAGGTGAGGGTACCTAGTAATTTTTAGGAAAATCAGAGGCAGTGAATGATGTCAATAGCTTACATACATCTTTGTAACATTTAAGCTCACTCGCTGATAGTACGCGGGGTGTCATTTATGAGATACGTTGTTTTGCGCTGTCGCAAATCCTGTAAATCATTTTTTGGACCAATTGACCTAACTTAACTCCTCCATATCGCCATCTCGTCGGAAACTTGCACCCCTGCAAGTTATGACAGCTGAATCTTGCCTGTGAGAAAAAGTCCATCCACAGAATTTTAGAGCACAATACAAGCTGGTTTTCAGGATTGTTACTTCGAGGAAAATTTGGGCTTTGAACTATAGCATACTCACCTTCTTGCCATAGCTTTTATTTCTATAAATATTCCCGATATTATTTCTCATTTTCTATTTACAACTGTGTATGTTTATCGTCTCAATGACTTCAATCTCCGTTAGCGACTTGTTTATACTATGGTGTTAAGATTGTATTATGAGTCGTCGTCTAATTTCAAACTAATGAGACGTTTCAAAGTGTCAATTGATATCTACAAGATCATCTTGCGCATTGTATAAGAGTAATGTGGAACTTGTTTTACATTCGGAAGGTAAAACTGTTGATGTCCATGGGTCTTTGAAGTTATTAGATGTTGTTCTTGATATCAAGGACAGATCGATTATTCTTGTCCTTTGAATTACAGTGGAGAAAAGTGCTAGATAATCTTTGACTCATGTAGCGCAATAAACGTTATTCCAATTGCAGGTGAAGTTCCTAGTAAATTTTTAAAGAGCAATAATTCGATAGCAACACTTCTTATATGTGGTAGAGTGTAGAAAATAGCTTGGGCAAGTTTGATGCATATGTTTTGATGGCAAGAGGTAGTGGTTTAGACATTGGTATACAAACTCCACATCATGTGCTAAATAAGATTGGCCAATTCTAGCGAGGCTCAGCTTGGTCAAACCGAACCTCATCAACTTTTCTCTCCACGACATCAAAACCTTGTAATACACAACGGCATCGTCAGCAACTCTTCACGCATCAGTCAAATATTTATTTTGAAATTTCTTCTAATATCTGTTGTTAGGGAAATAAAAAGTCTTTAGTCTCAATTTTCAGCGCATGTAATTCAATTCTTTCGCGTTGGTCACTTATTCCACCTACCCAATGTCATCATCCGCTAACTTTACTCTGAAAAAATAGACGAATCCTTCTTGTTTAATAAGCAATGTGGTTTGCAAGCTGGATAGAGAGGTAGACCGAAGATTCTGCTACGATGTCTCGCGCGTCGGGCACGAGCTTCGCGCAGTTTTTCCCGTCAGCTCCGCGGGCGGCTAAGGTTAAGGCGAAGGAAAGAGAAAAGAAGTCACAGGCCCTGGAAGCATCACGGTCGTTGGTCGATGTTAAGGCGTCTATAATAAAAAAACATATCGACAGCTCCTCTGCTCTTACTATCACCGAAAATATCATCCCAGCCGCGGAGGTTGTAGTACATCAAGTCGAAGATAGTGAGTCAACTCACGACGACATTAACGATGTCGGCTCAGCAAGCTCTCATGCGAGCTCAGTTTTCAGTGGGCCTGGTCAACAGCAAAATATTACAACCAAAGACAGTTCTCGTCAAATTATGACACCACTCACGAATACTAATTCCTCACCTCCAAATGGCCCGGTCAGCCCAAACCATCAAAAGCCAGCTCCTCCTCTCCTAAGCTCGGCAACACCCGAAGTAAACCTCGTTCAAAAGATAGTGGTACAAGAAGCTCCGCAAATAATACGTGTGCACGCTAGAGAACCTGGTAAAAAAGTTAAAGGCAATATTTGTTTATATGATCCCCTGCTCGATAAAAAGCTATCCTCAAGCGAAAGAAAAAAGGTCAAACCCATCTACAAGGAATTTGGTCTGGTACGTATAATTTTGTCTTCGGGGAGCGTCATCTTTTTCGTGTAAACATCTGGCTAATAGATTACAGGAAGATGACGCTCCCCCGGCGGATCCTCGGCTTGCTAAAATCGGAGGTAAACTAGATTATATTAATGTCGACTTTCATAATCCCAAATCTCGTCTACGCCACGCGCCGTATCTAATCAAGCCTTACGAATACGACCCGATGACATCTCTGGGGCCAGGTCCACCGACCCAAGTTGTTGTAACAGGATTCGATCCACTACACAGCTTCTCAAATGTATCTGCGATATTTTCAAGCTATGGAGAAATCGCAGAAAGTAGCAATAAGTTACATCCTGATACAGGTAGCTGTCTTGGTTTCGCGACTTTTCGTTATCGGGATTCTAGGAAGGGGCATGGAGGCAGATTTGTATCTGCAATTGAAGCCGCGAAAGCAGCTGTGAAGCAAGGCTCAGCTATGAGAATTGGTCAACAAAATGTAAGGGTTGATTTTGATCCTGAGGGGAACCGAAGTCGACGAATGATGCAGAATTTCCTAAAACAATCAGTCTTCATACAGCCCCCACCTCCGAAAGAAATACAACTAATCCCAAAGTTAATCGAGCCAGCCAAGGCACCTATAATCGGCCCACCGCCAACTGCTCCTAGAGGCCCATCATCATTCAGACAAATCTTTCGTCCTCTGCCACCGCCAGTGGCCGTCCCAATAAATACCACGTACACTGCAGCTACTGCAGTGCCCCTGAGCCTTCGAACCCGCTGGATAGTGGAAACAATACCGATACGCCCCCAGATCAGGACTGAGCCTTTTTTGTTCATATCTGGAGAATCAGTGCCCGTCATGACTTCGACGCCGGTACATATGCTTAAACGCATGAAGCACTTCAATGTAGAAGAGCTCCGAATTGACAAAAGTGGTTATTTCATATTCTTTGCTACCACCATTATGGGCAGAGTTGATTGCGAGAGATGTGGTAATGCTTTAAACGAAACCTTGATGTTTAACTACAAAATGAATATTCAATCTTTTCCTCTAGGGAATTCTACTCCACCGACACAAAAACAAGTTCGCCCGATTCCAGAAGCTACGCAAATCAGTAAAATCGCTACAGTTGAGAATCCTCTGACCACCGGAGCACAACGTGATGCGGAAATCCAGCGCCTGGAAGATGAGATCGATTTTGAGGAAGAAAAGAGAGAGCGAGCCAAGAACTTCGACCCTGCCCGAGAAGCTATTAATGTTATTCGAAGGGAACTAAAAGAACAACTCCTTGGGAACATTAGAACTAACATTGCAACCCCATGTCTCCACAAATTCTTGGATCCATCTAACCATACAAGTAAGCGAAGAAGGCTTAATATTCCGGACCCTACAGATTTACGATTAACATTTCGAACTGAAGAGGCTAGTTCTGGAGGTGCGCCTGAGATTGATTCACTCAGCCACCGATCCGAAATTCGACCTGGACCTTTCGGAGTATCGGCGTTACCGCGTATTCGTAAAGCTAAGAACGCAAACAAAAGAACAAATGTTGGATTTCAAGATCCTTTTGCCAGAGCTAGAAGTCAGAAGCGAAAGGCGCCTTTGTACCGATCTCTAGTCAGCTTATTATTGGAGGACTCCGATGATGAAGTTGAGACCTGCTCTCGTGCCCCAGATAACCACGAGCCTGAATCGCGTCCACGAAGTAGAGTGAGCACTGAGGACGAGGCATCTGAAGAAGAAACAGAGGACTTGCCCACAGCTAAAAACATAGATGTTAAACCTGAAGATGCATCTATTGATACAGTAGCAGTTGATAATTCGATGGGCAAAAACTTGCTTGATGATAAGCAAAATATTTCTGTCGCGATTAAGCGAAAATCCGAATCTCTAAATCAACCATCCACAAAACGACTTAAAAAAACGGACGAGGAACTCTTTGGAGTTGCCGCAAACAAGATTGAACAAGAGTTTCCATTATTTTCTGAAAATTATCTGAAAGAGAACCTTCAACAAGATATTCATGAGACTCTGCCAATTGAAACTGTGATTGATATTGTTACTACAAAACGTAAAATCCCCCCTTCAAAGCCTAAAAAATCTAAAAAGCAGATAGCATTCGAGCTTCGACAAGCAGAAGCTCTCGAGAAGCTAGAAGCCGCTCTCTCCGCTCAAAAACTGCCGTCTGCGATAGAGGAACCCAATGTTAACGACAATTCCCCCTCAGAAACAATCGTGGAGTGGGGTATGTCCGGCAGTGAGCCTAGACCAGCTGTAGTTGACGATTTTACAAATATCCTTGACCTGGATGGCCTACAAGATCTGATCAAAGATAATGAGGACTGCTCCATGTTAAAAGAATGCTTTCCTTCAACAGATCAAAACAGTAAGGACTGGTGGAAAACTTGGTGTTGGAATCAGAAAGAGGTTAAAGCTCTTAATCGAGATGGAAATAGTGGTACCATCACAACAGAAACTATCATTGAGGGCTACTACGTACCTAACGAGACTGGATGCGCCCGTACCGAAGGAACAAAAAGGATTTTGAATGCCGAAAAGTCTTTATATCTACCACATCGGATAAAAGTGCAAAAAGCTAGAGAAGCACGTGAAAAAGCTCAAGCATTAAGAAGTGGTAGGGATCTTGCAGCAGAAGCAGCGGAAGCACTAAAGGCAAAGAAAGATAAGGCAGCCAAAAGCAATACCAGAGCTACGCGGGTTAGCAATCGTCGGTATATTGCTGATCTTAATGATCAAAAGAAAACACTTGGTGGCGAAGGTGATGTATTCAGCTTTAATCAGCTCAAGAAGCGAAAAAAGCCCGTAAAGTTTGCAAGGTCGGCTATACACAATTGGGGTCTGTACGCTATGGAAAATATCCCAACTAATGATATGATTATCGAATATGTTGGTGAACGAGTCAGGCAGCAAGTTGCCGACGGAAGGGAGATGCGCTACCTAATAAGTGGCATCGGTAGTAGCTATCTCTTTAGGATCGATGAAAACACGGTCATTGATGCGACGAAAAAGGGCGGCATTGCCAGATTTATAAACCATAGTTGCGTACCTAATTGCACCGCTAAAATTATTACCGTTGAGAAGACAAAGCGAATTGTCATATACGCATTGCGTGACATCGCTCAAAGTATGAAAGCCCTTTCATAATTTACACACATTTCTAACTTTTATCCAGATGAAGAACTTACATATGATTACAAATTCGAACGCGAAATAGGGAGCACAGACCGTATTCCCTGTTTATGCGGTACAGAATCTTGCAAAGGATTCCTCAATTAACCATTTCTGTTCCTGTTTCTATAATCTCATTGCAATAGGTGGGGGTATTTGACTTAACCAGAGTGGTTAAAATATTGGAATTTGTCTTTCGGTAAGCTTTGGCGTTATATCTGGTGATGGTATGGGTATAGTTTACTCTTTTCAACCGAGTATAATATAAATAGGCGTTTTGTTGCTTGAAGGTATTATTTATCGGCTACATTGGGTCATTGGGTCACTGCAAATAGATTGCTTCAGCAGAGCAATTCAAATGGGTTAATTGTGGAAGTTGTATGAGTAAACGATAAAAGGCTTTTAAATTTGATAAAATGAAGTGACAACTAGTCTCGAGTCTTAAAATGGTTTAAGCCAACTTCAACAATAACTTTGAATGAGACACCACTTCAAAACTACAATCATTCCCGGCAATGATGAATTCTTTACCCTTTAGGAGTGCCGGCGTAATCGCTTTGCATGACTGTTGAGACCTAGAATATAAAATATTATTACGAGATGAACAAAGTATGGGTTACATTTTTACCTGACTGTTAGTGGTTTCCAGTCGGGCAGGAAGTTCCCGTGTCAGGTTGTGTTGAGGAAGATACAGGTCACGTGATAGTTGCCTTCAGATGTTAAAAAAGCGGCAGGAAGACAAATAACACCATATCATCGTCCCAAGACATCAAGATGCCCCCCGGGAGGCGTAAAATCCCCACGACACTTGTGTCCCCTGCTCGAGTTGTCTCGCACGCAGTCAAACGTGTGAGGCCTCGCCCTCCGCTCCCAACTGTTTAGGAGGAAGTTATCTTAGCAGCCGCAGCTGAGAAGCAACAATCTCCAGCTGAACCCATCTACATGGACTCTGAAGACGAGTTCGTGGACCTCGGATTGGAAAACGAATGACCTTCCAACTTTTCCCCTGAAAACCTTTCCCTCTCCAACGCCAGCTCCCGTATCGGTAACAGCTACCCAGCTGCAACCGCCCAAAAAACCTCTGCGAAGAGATTCTACTCAGGGTATCTCCAGCTCCATCTACGCGTCCACCAAAGACAACGTTGCAATTGAGCAACAACCTACCCCAACTCTCCCACGATCTAGCGCGCGTACAACAGCGCGGATTATCGAACACCCCTCGGCAGCTATGACAAATAACATAGCCGCTTTATTGTTGGCCTGGCAAAATGCGGGAGCCCAACATCTACGTGGTCTACCGCCAACAATAGCTGCGGACCTCAAAGCTATCGTGACGCGAAGTGCAGCACGAGTCATTGCAGGCCTCCCTGTCTTCGAGCAGTCTCAAACTACTGCAAACGTAAAAGTTAGCGCACAGCTAGCCCCACAACTAGAACCACCCGTAAGTTCTACTTACGCAAATGCTGCGAAGAAGAACTTGACCGTACCTGTACCCCCTCCAAAGGCTACGCCCAGGGTTACCAGTTCAAAGAAAAAACACATGCCGGACTCTAGAGTTATGATACGCCTAGTGCCCGACCACCCTCTGAGATTCCAAGATTCTTTTCTGGTCCGTACAAAGCTGAGAAGCTTTCTCGAAAAACCGGAACTAATCAAGGACATCAGGTCGGTCCCGCTGGGATAGCTCTCGTGGCCCCCTCATCCGATCAGGCCTCCGAACTCATGCAAGCAGCCCTTGCTCTACAGCCCGCTACAGGAGTTGTGCCTATCGAAAGACAGGAAAAACGAGAGAACTTTCTCCTTAGCCCAGTCCCTAAATATGGGTACAATGCTTCCGGATCTCCCAAATCCCTTTCCGTTGCAGATATCCGGGAAGAACCTGCAGCAGCAAAAATTGATACAAAATCAATTTTTTCTATCAGCTGGACACGTAACTCTCTGGCCCCAGAATGGGAAGGCACTCTCCGACTGGTAGTTGCAAAGCCAGCTGCAGATAAACTCCCATCCAGCGTCCGCCTATTTGCTCGGTCCGCCAAAATTCGACCGGCTGACAATCGCCCACGCCTCCAAGTCTGTCTGCGCTGCCATGGATTCCACAACATCAATGCCTGCACCAGGAGAGCTCGTTGCGGACTTTGTGCTTCAGACTCACACAACGGCCCATGTATGACACAGATAAAGTGTCTTAATTGTGCTGGCCCGCACGTTGCCTCTTCCACTGGATACCCCGCAAGACCCTTCCGAGCTAACGGAGTATTTGTTCGCCCAGACAAGGAGAGAATGCGGGTAATGCGCAAGGAAGGACACAAGTCCTGGCTGGCTCTTAACCCTCCGCCTCCCGCTGGGTCTCCTTCCACATAACCCTCGTGCACCACGATTCCAGCTCCTGTTCTAACAATAGGCTCGGCATCTAGGTTTGCTCCCCTGATTTCCCGTGAGGAGTCACTATGAGGGTCCGAAATAGGAACCGAAGAAAGCAGAAAATCCCGGGCCTCTGTTGGCACGCCTGAAGGTGCCCTCGCCTTCAGAAAATGGGTTGAGCTGACGAAGTTCTTCGACGAAATCCAAAGAGCCCATCAGATATTTCCATTTGCGATCTAGCGTGGGGCTAATGTTAAATGGAAGGATTTATTCTTCTTTTCTTATTCTGCGGTTGTAATTTAAAACTACTCGTAAGAAAAAAGAAGTTAAGTTCCTGGTAGAGTGAAGTTTGCTACATTTAAATTGGAAAGCAGAGTGGCGGACAGCTGGTCGGACTCTTTTGTAATTTTTAGGTGCTGTAGTACGCGCTAGAGCGTCGGGTAGTTCTGTAGGGACTGGGCCGTCCAGTACGTGACAGTAGTCACGAGCTGTAGATAGGCACGACGTTAAATTCAATCAAAATCAAAGACAAATCACACGCCCCGTCAAGGACACGAGAAGACATTAGTGTTGGCTCTACAGAGCTGGATCACTCGTGGACTATGAATGATGTATGTAAGATAGGAAATGTGTATTGTAATTTTGTTAAGTCTTTATTAACATAACAATCGTTATTTCATTCCAACAATAACTAGGATAGCCAAGAAGAATCGTAATTGAAGATGAATATGTACATAGATACATCTAAGGTTGACGATTTCTCTCCAATTTCGGACCTGTCATTCTCGCAAAGTCCTCCAAGATAACTACCACAAACTTCTTCACTCTAACGAGTGATCAATAAGCTGTTTCAATTTTACACGATACCTTGAATTATCAATTACTGGCCAACTCCCGCCACAAACTCACGATTCTTTTTAAAACCAGAAGCAAGAAATCAAGTCAGAACATGCAAAGATCGGGTCTTGGCTGTTGATGGACTGTTGCTTTCATGGGGAACAACAACTTAAGGTTAGATAGTTGGGATATGGAATGAGAGAGGAAGAGAAGGTCACCGATTGACATGCTGGGACTAATATTTGAGAGGTATCTGACTTTGACTTGTTTTTAGAGGCCAAGGCGACGATTTCGGATTCGTAGCTAGGACTTCTATTTTCCATGATTTTATGACGCTCCCAAGTATCCGTAATGACACAAAATTAATTGAGCCTGCCTTCTCTGAGAGAGATATTGTATCAATATCTTTTTGAAATCTAAACAAGGATTTCGGTAAAAAATTAGAATGAGGCTAGATAAGAAGAGTGTGAATTTCCTTTGGCTCACCTAAGTCTATAGCGCCCATCTGGCCGGCCTATTCAAACACTTTGGAAGGGTAGCAATGTCTTCAAACATATTCCTGATATTGGTATCTGGAAAGTACCGTCAAAGTGGCATGTGTAACTTTTCCTATCTTTGATGCACCCGCAAATGGCCATGGTTTCGTTGGCTGGGAGAGAAGGTAATGAAGGGCAAAGGGCTCCTCGAAGTGTATGATTGAATGAGGATTTGTGTGTTACAGACTAGTGTCTTATTTAGTTATTGCCGGAGTATATCCGGTTCATTTATCGAGAAGTCTCAGAGTACATGACTTGGCTGGATTAAGGAGTTGTGTAAAGGATAACTCATACATACCTCCATACGCAACGCGTGTATTGAGTAGATGAGCATGTAGTCTTAGTGATACTTCTTTATACAGAATATAATTCAATTTATGACCCACTTTTTTGCGAACAGCTGATGTGATCAGTCCCTTCTCATTGTGAGGGGTGGCACTGTTTGGTGGGAGCTGTATTGAAGGCATAGGAAGGAACATACTACTGTCAGGTTCTCTTGACCAATAGGCAGAGAGGACTTATATGTCCAAATAGCCTTGGACTAACAGACAAAAATAAAAATATTCAATTGCTATTTTAATTTGAATTCATTTTCCTGATTTGGCGCCGTATGGGCCCATGCAAGTGTCTATTATAGTTTCTAACTAACATGGTAGGAAACATTTATGGTGAAAATCTTCCAGATCTTTCTGCGTGTTGTCTAGTTTTCACTTAGGTTCTTCGGAAAGCGCAGTTACACTATATAGCCGTCCATGTAAACCAACCACATCATCTCTAACGGCCCTAAGCATTGCTTGACCTGGTCCTTTAACTCATCAGCATTTCGACCGCTTCTTTCATCTGTAATTGCTCATTCCAATCATGATTTAGGATCCACTGTGTTATCCTTTTCATGTCTCCAGGATTGTTTATCATCGCTTCGTAGGATCGGTCTTTGGCCTGTCTCCAGATCTCTACTCTGCCACTTGACCATTGGATGTAGGATACGATCATATGCTTGGGGTTCTATGTTTGGTAGCCACATGGACAGCCTGGAATTAACACTCCGGGTACTTTTTTTATATATAAATACGAATTGAGCTCCATGTGCTCACAGTGAGTTTGCATTGCCTAACTACTTTGGGCCCTTTCCGGGTATTCAATTGCTATTGCTGTAGTCAATAGAATCAGAATTGCTAGACGTTATAATAATTGAAGCTTTCAAGTAGGCTACGTCATTGGCACCCACGTGACTACAAAACCTATACTTAGTCTCACTTCGGTCAACGCACGAATGAATTAGCTCTACAACCTCAATGACTGAGGGTTCATTATTCCCTTAATAGGAATCGCAGTTTATGACTCACTCAAGGAGATTGGCATTTGATAGAATCA